TACCTGCCGCCGGGGCGGGGGGAGCGGGGGCGCGGCGCGGAGGCTCCATCCCGCGGCTCCGGCGGCAGCTGCAGGACAGGCACGGCACACATGGAGGCGTCACCTCGCACCCCGACCCCATCCGCTCCGCCCGGGGCTCGGGGAACGCCGGCCCCGGCGGGACAGATGTGCCCGCAGCTGGACCGGCCCCCAGCTGTGCCCGCAGCTGGAGGCTGCGCCCCTAAGGGCAGGTGCGGGGGATGGCCGGGCTCTCCCAAGGCCGGGAGGAGCCACGCCAGGAGCGGGGCTGGCCGGCTGAGCGGGCAGGCAGGAGCCCAGGGCGAGGGGCTGGACACAGAGGGGCTTGCAGGGGTCTCTTCGGCAGCGAGGAAGGGCCTGGAGGCAGCAGGAGCAGCAGGAACAGCCAGGCTGTGCTTTGGCACCTATGGCATGGTTACCGCTCCTGGCAACAGGTCTGGCAGCCCCAGCACAGACCTTGTCCCTGTCGAAGTTCACCAGGGCTGCAAGTACTGCAAAGGGAATTTAAAAAGCAGCATACACACACCTTCCACAGGCACAAAGGAGGGAAAAAAATGCATCTCAAGGTTTCTGGTCTCTCCCCAGAAAGGGCAGACCCATTTTTGTATCCAGCTATGTCTCAAGAACCATTTTGTCTTGGGTGGGTACTCATTGCTGCTACTCTTCCTTACCAGCCTGAGCAGGTTTCTCTTCTCTCCTCCCCAAGCTTTGCAAGCTCAGAAAACTGTGCAGGTTTTGCTGTGGACAGAAGTGGACAGCATCAGTATTTTTAGATCTCAAGGCTACTTCTGTACCTGAACAGGAGAACTTTCCTCATTCCCTGCATGTCCACTGTGCTCCCAGTCCCTGTCTGTGACAGTCCTGGATGGCATGAGTGGCACTTCTTTAGCAGTCCAAACATCCAGTCCCACCAGTGTTTCTCACACCACAGAGCTGACTGCCATTGAGGCCATGTATTAGTTCTTGGCCAAGACCCAGGACATCAGCTGCTCCTCCAGAGAGAAGAGCAAGCAGAGCCCTCCAAGGCATACAGTCCTGCTCTCTCTCAGGAGTCTTAGTCTCCTGCCAGACAAACTGAAAAGAGATGTAACTCCTGGACTAGCAAGGAGACAAGCACACACCCCCGGGATCACCATGTGCAGGTAACCCTGGGGCAGCCTCTTGAGGGTGATCTAAGCGTCCCCTTTGCTGTTTGGATGCACAGACTGAACTGTACTACATGCAGGACTCAAGAGACTCAGCAGCATTCATTCAGGGAGCTTTGATGTAGCTCCATCTCAAAGCACAAACCCCACCTACCAAAATGTGATTTCTCTGCAGCATGGCTGTTATTTGGCCTCCGACCTGGGGCAGGAGGTAAGGGTGCTGCCTTGTTCCACAGCCAGATCACTGCCACCGCAGCTCACCTTCTGCTTGGATGCCAACCACCAAAAGCTCACCCCTTAGTGACCTGACCTTTAGTCAAGTCACCAGCCCTGGCTCAGGCTGGCCTGGCAGAAGACCCAATTTGACTTTCCTACCTGCACTGCTGTCAGTCAGGTCAACTCCTTAGATGCACAGCAGAGCACAGGGCCCCTGGGAGAGTGCGCACACATCTGCTGCAAATTAAGAGACAGCACTTCCATCCTAGCCAGCATCTCTGCTCACAAGGCATCAGCTGATTTTTCTCTTTCAAATTGTCCAACTGACCATCAGGTTCACTTCAGACCAACTCAGCCTTAAAGGAAACCTGAGGAGAGGTTATGTGCTCAGAGAAGTTCTGCTGTTCCTCTTCCCCACCTGAACCACCTGGTCTCCACCCAGGTGCAGCTGTGATACCAGACTGCTCTCTTTCCATCAGTCATCCTTCTCTCTGCTCTTTCCCCCTCTGCCTGAAATGGCCACATTTCCAGCTCCATATCTCATAGGTGTGTTTTCTATTTTCAGACCTATCAGCCACCTTCTCTTGAAGCCACTCCAGCTCCTACCTTCTGCAGACAGAAGAGACATGGAGGAAGGGAATTTTCTCAAGCACCAGCACATGGAGCAGGCAGTTCTGCTAAAAACTCAAGGTTAGCCATTTCCAATCCTGAGCCACATGACAATCATTCCTGTGAGAGGTAAAACAGATATTCTGGCCAGCACAGAGGAGGAGGCTCAAACCCAATCTCTCCAGCTTTGATTTACATTATTCCATTCAGGCTAGAAAAAGCTGGACTGAGTTTACTGTCATTCTGGCTTGTCATCTTCTAAGGCACAGGCTGCTGTTTTCAAAAGGTTTTAGCCATGTGTGAGCCACCCCAAGCGCTGAAGTTTTATTTTTTCAAGACCAGAAAGTCCTTGCCAGAAACAAGAGAAAAATTCAGCAATACCATAAGCTGAGGCACTCCTGTCCCAGATCAGCCCCACTGCTGAACCTCAACAAGGAACTGCATGGCTTCCTGCACTTCCTAAGTCCTGCTGGTTACTAAGAAAAGTACTGTACCTCATGGAACTCTGCTCAGTTAGAGGTTCCACTAAGTGGGTCTACACAGGAGCACCAAGGAGGAGGGCTGGATGCACAAGAACTTGACTGTGTCCTTGCTAGTTATTTGATTGCTAAGTCTAGTGTATTTAATACAAGCTCATGACTTGGCTTGGAAGTCATTAGCCAAAGGTCCACCACTGACAGTTGAACAGTTGTTCACAGCTCTGTAGGACTTTCTGCCCCAATATCTACCCTCAGTTGAAAGAAGCCTTCAGGCCATCCTGGTGAGCACCCCAAAGTCACTGCTCCCTCTGCCCCAGCCAAGAGCTCACACTGTGCCCATGTTGGGGGTGCTTGTGTCAGCTTGCCCTGAGACACAGAACACAGGAAACAGGAACCCCCAAACTGGCATCCATTCCATGCTACTTTCTTCACAATGGCCTCCACCAGTCCTCTGCTGCTTATGAAACAAAGATGGTATCTTTACTAATGGCTACTGATGGCTGCTTCTTTCCCCATAAACTGGTCAAATCTTTTTGAACTCAAACTGTTAGCACCCACTAAGCAAGGCATAGACTTGTCCAACCTGCCATCTTGTACTTTAACCAAGCATGCCCAATTCTAAATATTAATGAAAACAATGAATAGTCATTCCCTACTTGTCACAGTTTTACCTGCCTTTATCATTTCAGTTGGGAAAAGATGCCAGAGTGGGTGAATCCCAGCCTACTTACAAGGTTTCTTGAAGGGAGCTTTTCCCTTATCTTTCTTTGGCTGGCCTGATGTATGTGTATCATTCCCAGTGCTACCACCTGAGCTGCAGCTCTTCCAAATACCACCATCCATATCCCAGGTACTGACAGAAACCTTGCAAATGTGATCTCCCCTGACTCCACAAAGCCTTCTAGATCACTTAGGAGATGTAGCCTCCCCTCCCTTTGACTCTTTACCCCCACAGATCCAGCTGCAAAAATTCCATTTACCAAGTGAAATAACTGGATGACATCAAAAAGAGGGTTAAAGACACTTATAAAAAGTTTTATTTACAGACCATTGCCTAAGCATGAAACTCTCCAAATGACAGAAGTCACAATTTCTGTAACCTATGTGTACAAAGTGCATGTCTTTCCCCTTTCTTCTCTCTGTAGCAGAAGATGGGGGTAGGGGTGTATCTCTTTTTCTTTATACCTTTCTGCCCCCAAGACAATGGGAGTAACAGCTGGGTCAGACTGAAGGGGACAAGACCTGTTGATGACTGGGTTATCCACCAGGCAGACTATGAACAGTAGTTTAGAATAAAGTAAGGTTAGGAAAAGTGACTCTTTGTGTACTTGTTCAGTCTGCCCAGTGGATTCTCTGTGGAAAAAGAACATAAGATCAAAGCCCCAGGGAATGGGAAGGAAAGGTTATTCAGCTATTCATTAAATTTATTCACAGACTCAATTCAACCACTTCAGGTTTCTCAGGTACATTTGACTCAGTTTCTATTCACAGCCCTGTTGCTCTGGGTTCAAACACAGGCTCCAAAACTGAATCTGATTATCCCAGTGGGAGAGAACTCCTGTACTCCCCAAGCAGTTAGTTCCACAAGCTCACATATAGCCCCACACTATCTGTGTCAGGCATGGATGAAAGGTTTAGGACAGCAAATGAAAACAGTGCCAACAGCAGCCCATTGCACGGGACGAGCTACTCCATCTAATTCCTCTTGGAAACAACCTCAAGAGAGAGAAACAATTCTCGAGAGAGCATCTCCTGCAGTAGCAGCCTCCCTTGCACTCTTTGGTGCAGGCAGAGGTGCTCTGCCAGCACTGTGCTGACCTGACAAGTAACAGGACCCTGCAAGGAGTGTATGGTTAAGAGCCAGGAGAGCTACACAACACCTCGCTAGGCTACAAAGCACCAGCGCAAATGCAAGTGGCAAGGAGGAGCAGTGGGCAGGTACAGGAGTTCACTGGGTGGAAATTCAAAACACAGATGCCAATACAGAAAAGAGCAAACAGAATGGACACTGGACTCTGAACTTGAGGAAGACTCACTTCAAGGAGCTGATGTGTAATACATCCTCTGTCAGTATGAGGCACTGCACAGGCTACACACCAGACACAGGCTCCATTTGAGAGCTCTCAATCAGGGAAGGAAATGCTGTAGGAGTGCTGGGCCCAGGTGTAGCTTCCTTATTACTTGGATCAGATCTATTCTGAGATACTGCTTTGCTCATATCAAGGCATGATCTTATTCTCTGAAGAATTCCTCCTTCTCAGAGTCACAGAATCAACTAGGTTGGAAAAGACCATTGAGATCATTGAGACCAACCTATATGACCTAACATCAATATGTCAACTAGACCATGCCACTGAGTGCAACATCCAATCTTTTCTTAAACACCTCTGGGATGGTGACTCCACCACCTCCCTGGGCAGCCCATTCCAATGCCCAACTATTCTTTCTGTGAAGAACTTTTTCTTCATGTTCAGCCTTAACTTCCCACAGTGCAGCTTAAAACTTTGTCTTCTTATCCTGTCTCTGGTTGCCTGGGAGAAGAGACCAACCCCCACCTGGCTACAATTTCCTTCCAGGGAGCTGTAGAGAGTTTCTCTTCCCCAGATGTCAAACAGCTCTGAAGTGGCCCATTCCAGGCAATAGCACTATGACTCACCTTGCAGTGGCAATGTTTTTTTGCAAGGAAAGTTTTAAGTGCCTTTCAAGGGTATCTGTTCTTGTGCTACAGTTGACCTTCATTTTGTTTCCATCCCACATAGCATTACCTTGATTTACTCAGAAAGCATCTCCTTCCTCGTCAGCCTAATGAAAGAAATACTGAGTTTTCCCTGTTCTCTTGTAGGATGGGTACTCTATTTTTGACATTGTAGCAGCTTCCTTCTTAACTCCTACTATAATTTGAATTAATCAGCATACATCACTACCAAGTACTATTGCTGAGAAAGGATGCTCACTATTTCTGAGATGTGCAGATGCCAAATTCCTGCATCAATGCATCAACTCATACACACTGAGCCATTGTCAGAAAAGAAAGATACACCTGGGAGTGAGCAAGTTGACAGAATGTTCTTGCCCTGTTTAATGTGGGCAGATGTGGGAATGGCTGAGAAGAGATGTATTTGGCTCCCTGGAGACCAAAAAGCCAAATATTCCCAAGCACAAGTAATGCAGCGCCCTTCTGTGGCAGCTATTGGAATTACACAGTTACACGAGACCCTGGATTTCCTGTTGCAGACGGCAAGTTCCAGTCCCTCTGTGACAGCAGCTCCTACTTTTCTGGTCACCTCTTCAGCGCTCTCTCTCTTCACTTGCAAGGTGCTTGTCGCTGGCTGTAGGAGACAGTAAAAGAGACAATTTGTCTTGACCTTCCTTGTCATACTGAAAAGCTGGCAGAACATGTGACCAGCTCCTTGCCTCCTGGGATCTGGAGCATTGCAGGCAGATGACTGGACCTGCTTGATCTCCTGCTCTAGCCCATCCCCTCACCAGACAGGAGAATCTGGCTGTGAGCCCACTCTGTGGAAGGAGAAGCAACCTCACAAGAGCAAATGCACCAACAAGTGTGCTTTGTGACAGCTCCAGCACAGGGCACCGCTCTCCACCGGACAATGGAGCTAACAGTGTGTCACACAAAATCCAAACGACCTGCAGGCAGACCACTGCCATATTTCTGGGCTGTGGATTACACTTAGGAGCCTTACACATCCCTCTGCAAGGAAGTCCATTTTGTTCATTAAAATGGTGGGAGTAAAAATGGAGCCTTATTAGCTTCCAGAACCAGGTAGTTTAAGCCAGATCACACTAGGAAGTACTCACAATCACAAACTCTTTCCAGAGATCTCTGAAGCGGGGAGATCTGTCACTTTGGCTCGTTTGTACAGTTCTTCAGGGCATGGCTCTTCCGCTCCCTCGTGTTTGCGTTTTGGAGAAGCCTGGTCTGCTTGAGACAGCCTCACTGCTGTAGAAGGAAGAAGAGACATCACTGCAATGGTTTCCCTGTGTTTAGATGGCCTCACAAGTACACCCATGCCTAACCTGCCATAGAGCTGGGAGAAAGAAGACTGCACAAGCACAGAGCCATTTGGTCACAGTTTCCCTGAAAACTTTTACCAAAAAGTCTTTGTTAAAAGCAGAATTAAGTCACCCCAAACACAAAAGTATCCTCCTTTGACAGAGGACAGCTTAATTATACCTGATTAACCCTACAGCAATCTGCATTTCTCCTTTAAGTGGCTGCATATGATCCCATACAGGCAATAAATGACTCACATGAATAAACTCTTATTCTTCAGCCATTTTAGACATGAAGGCTCACTGGGGACTTTTGATAAAAATGTAAAGGAATATTAATGTTTTCCTAGCTGCGTAGCCTCTTCTTATTAGAAAAGGATCCTCTCCTGCCTGTAACCTTTAACATGACATGAAAATCAAAAGCACACAGATAGGTCCAACTCACCTGTACTGGTGCTGCAGCCCTGCCCTGAAGCAGAGTCTGTGACCGGGCCACTGAGATCTTCCACACAAGAAGGGACAGATGCCAGCAAACCTAGAGAACAGCAAGAGGATCTGAGTTAAGAAACAAAACACACCTGGGCTGGGAGAAGCTTTTCACAGAAATACCTTAGTGATCACCAACCAGCACATCCATATCCCAAAGCAGGAGGAGTTCAGAGCTGCACTGACCCAGTGCTGACTATAGACACACACTGTGATCCAGCCGTGCATTTATTTAGAATACACTGCTTAGGTTTTCTTACAAAGTGGACAATGGACCACTAGTGGTAATATAGACTGTGCCATGCTATCAGCAGCTCTCAGACCTAAACACTCCACTCTTAGCTGTCTGAGAACATAATGGAGATCTCCCTGGAAACCAATTGAGCAGATTTGGCAGGGCACTGCTTCCTCTTGCAAGGACAGGCCAGAGAGGCAAGTAACACCTATTTTAAATCATGACCTTTTCTCCCAGCATTTTATCTCCCATTAAAGACACAAATGTTTGCCATTGCTGGTACTTACAGAGGCCTCTATAGCGTGACAGCTGCTGGTAGATCTGCTTCATGCGCTCGATGTTCAGTCGGCTGGTCTCTGCATGGTTCACCATGGGTTTGGGGTAGTCCACCCCAATGATGCACTTGGCTGCCTTCTGCACAGACTCTGGGGCATTCCATGGTTCGTAGATATATCGTGAAGGGAAACCCTTTAGTTTGGGCAGATACCTCCTGCAACACAAGTAGAAAGCAGTGCAGCACGCACAACACACAGAAAGTGCCATGCACCTGTGAACCACTAATTGACTTCAGCTTAGAGATGCAGAAACAAAGATCAGCTCCAGGCAACATCACTTACTTCACATAGTCACCACTGGGGTCTGTGCGACGTCCGAAGCCCACAGGACAGTAACAGTGGAAGAACTGCTGGAAGAACGCGCTGCATGAGAGCCACATCCAGCTGCCCGCGTTCACGCTGAAATCTGCATCCAGCAACAGCTCATCAAACACCTGCAGCAATTGGAGGAAAAGGCACTGAGACCTTCCCTGGGGAGGACTTTGTGGCAGTAGGACCCAAGATGCTATTTCAAATGGCAGGCACTGAGCTATGAGAACAGAGCAGCAGCACAGAGGTGATCTGCTAGCTGAAGTCAGTTGGCTGGTCAATGCATCTCACTTCCTGACACTTTCACTTAGGGAGGCATGGTCTGCTCACACTCATAAAGTGCTGGCTTATGTCTCATGCAGATACAGACTAAATCACTACCTAGTGTTGCAGCAAGCTTTGGGTATTGATCCTAGCCTGGCAGGCATAACTAATGTAAAGCATGAACCCTGGGAAGGAGAGGATATTGCACAGAAGAACGTGCGCCAAAGCAAGAAGAAAGAACCCCTCTGAAGGCCCCAGAGCACACTACCATTGAGAGGCAGAAAGGTTTCAGCAGTAACTCACTCACATCCATGCACTTCAGGCAGCACTTTCAATTATGCTCTTTGTCAGCTTTGTGACCAGAAGCCTCTGCCTCCACTTTTTGTGTAGGGCACTATGTACATTGGATAGATTCAAGCTGTGTGTCCTTTCAGATTGGCCCAAGAGGAGGGTCTTTTACCTCTTTCCTTGAGAGACTCTAGACTCAGATTTCACAGTCATGGAGCGCTCCCTGACCGGAACGGTGATGGATTTTATAATGAGGAAAAAGGTCAGGTTAAGAAGTGACATTAAAGTTGCAAAGAAAACAGATGGACTGAGAGAATTTTTACAAAAAAACAACCCAAAACTAAAAGCACCCCCCCATTTAGTTATGGTTACTTGAGGCCTGTGACACAGTCAGAGCCTTGCAGTAGAAGGCAGAAAGAAGTCAGGCTGTTGGCTGGCCAAGAGCCTGCTAGCAAATCCTCTCTTCCATGCACCTTTTACACGTGAAGCGAAAGCCATACCTGTGTGCCCATCCTTGCAGCAAGTGCCAGGGAGACTTTGTTTTCCTTATGGCCTCCTGCAAATATCTGAAAATGCCAGGACTCACCCTGACTCCTGACTCCCAGCTGATCCAGAGGTCACCCCTGGTCAGGAAGCAGGCCACTGCATGTCTGGCCAGATGGTGAATCCACCCTTCTTGTCTCAGTTGGGTCATGATTGCATCAATCCAAGGGAAGCCTGTCTTGCCCTCTGCCCACTTTGCCAAGGCTTCAGGGTTCCTGTCCCAGGGGATTTGTATGCAGATGGGATTCCCCTCCATGCGATCAAACTTTGGGTTGTTGGTGGCTGCTGTGTAGAAGAACTCCCGCCACAGCAGCTGTCCGTACAGAGAGAGGGGGGGTGTGCTGTTCCGCTTCACCTGTGGAGAGGGAACATGGCTGCTCACAAGCACTGAAGGACTGCCTTCATGAAGCTGAGCTGAGAGGCACCCATGCATTTGCACACATTTCCCAAGTCAGCTACTGACCACTGCCATAAAGGAGCTCAGTGCTGGATCCCCCCTTATTAGAGTCAGAGCACTGACAGGGATCACTCAGTACAATGACAAGTGACTGGAACAATGTAAAACTAGCTATAAATGGCTCTACATGGCTCATAAAACAGAAGTCCAGACTGAAGAACAAGGTACCACCAGATTTAAGGCCTGTGTGAGTACATACAGGAGAATTACTTTCTTACCCAAAAGCCTCCTCTGGTAGTAGCAACAAGCTCAGCCCAACAATTAAATGCTAGGGAGGCAACTTATCTTTTGCACCAATTCTGGCACACTGTCTGGCAACCAGCATCATGCTATACATGCTCAAACCCCACCTGCCCTCCAGGTGAACCTTTTGTCTTACCTTCTTGTACAGCTCCCAGAGACGATAGTAAAACAAGCGGCAGGACAAGCAGCCAAAACGCAGGTAGGGACTGAGTCCTGTAGGACTGGCCAGCAATGAGTTGGCATTCATCCGTGGTCTTTCGTAATTTGCAACCCATGCCTAGACAGATTCAGGAGAAATGAGCCAAAGACCCCTTGTATTTGTGGGACACTGCTAAAGGCAAGCCCCTGTGCAGGTGGTGAGGACACACACATCTCACAACAGTCTCTTTTATTTACTTCCAACCACTGCTGGGAGAGGTCCCAACCCCATGCCCCATTCAAGAAATGCAAAACCTTTGCTCCAGGATTTACACTAAAGTTATTTTGCTCAAGAGGATTAATTTGCTTTGCATACAGGAGCTAACAATCTGGAGGGTTCCTAGAGATACCAGCTAACACAACTGTTTACGTCCAGGTATATCTATCTCATTTTACACACTAAACAAGTAAACTGGGGAAATTCAGTCCCTTTTGTGGAGCATTATGTTGATAATTTACTCCCTCTTCAGCACAAGTATTTATGCTTTGATTTCCACTACTGATATCAAGCCACCCAGCTGGATGGATTAAAGAAGTACAAAATGGTTAAAGCTGAGCCTGCTTTGGCAGCTGGGTCACCTTCCGTTACTTTGAAATTGTTTACCTTGTGCACTATAATCAAGAACACTAGCCCCATTGAAAAAAAATCTGATTATTTCAACAAGGGGCTCAAGGAATGCCAGCCAGTGAGACACTCTATCAAGATGCTGAGGGACAAGGGGACGGCATTCTTTTATAAGCATGTACTCACACTAATACCCAAGGTAAAGATAACAAGAGGTGGTGTGCAGTGTGCAGCAGGGACTGAACAACTTAACAGAAGAATTTCCAACTTTGCACTCCTCTAAAGGAAACTGAGAAGTAGACACAAAAAAGAGTCCAATGTGCTTCAAACAGCAGCATAAATAATATACTGCTCTAAATTTTTGAACCATACACTCCTTTCCACAGTTGAACATTATGACCACTGCTATGAAGAGCAGGGAATGGGGTAATAGGCAACACTACATTTTTCATTTGGAGGCCCAGTCTGTAAGAAACACCACTTAAATAAGGGGTTACCTTTCTTTCCAAGTGTTTATCCAGCCGTGCCAGAGCTTCTGTCTCCCCTCCTTGCCAGACTGCAGGGGCAAGACCATCAGTAGGAAAGCCTGAGAGAAAGAACTTTGTAAGATTTGATGCTATGCCAGACAAAGGGCATAGATATGGGATAATGCACTAACAACAGCAAGACAGTACATACTACAGTTGCCTAATGTGGCTTACTCGCTGCTCTAATCCTTGTACAGAGGCAAATCATGTAGGATATAGGGAGAGCCTGCTCATGACACAGCACTTCAAGGGCCTCTCCCTGCAATGCTACAGGCAGCCTTACGGTGACTTTCCCCATTGCTCACAGCCAGCATTCTCTCTGGTATGTCAGCACTACCCACAGGGCTCTGCTCCAAAGGCCAGAGAAGCTGGCAATGAAACATCTGCTTCACAGCTCTGCCCTACAAAACACCTTGCCATCGACATCAGCAGCTCACTAGGTAGCCCAGCTGCTCCTGGTAAGGCTCCTATTCTGCTGAGGCTGGTGCTAGGGAAGGCACTGGATTAGTGCAAAAGAACCACTGCAAAGGGGGAAGCAATAATGCAGTCCCCCTACAGTGCTCTGGGCACAGAGAAGCCTCCCCTGGCAGTAAGCAGAGCAGTGTGAGGTTACAGGTAGTCTCACATTTGGCCAGACAATAAAGAAAGTAGATCCATGCAGGACTGCAGCCCTCAGGATACTCCTGTTGTGAAGCCCCATGCTTTTATATGACTGTTGAAGCTGTGCCATAGGGTGTCAGGATACTTCCTATAAAGCTGGTATGGAGTTTCCAGTCACAGACACTATTCTGCATTAGTCCTTTCTTCCCCTGCATTTAGATTCACTTCCCTGATGTAGGTCTTGCATTCCTCATGCCTCAGCTATTCATTCTCCTTCTTCAAGTCTTACAGGACTGTAAGCCACAGCAGGATGAGTGGAAGGAATTTTTGTAATATCTTTTGTCTTGCTAAGTTCCCAAATTGGTGCTGCTTGGCAATAACGGAATGAAATTATCTAAACCTGGTACACAGTTAGTTTACCTCTTCACGTCTGTTACACAACATGCCTGAGACAGGAGCAGGAGGAAAGCAGCTGGTGAGGACATGAGATCCTAGTACAGTGGTTACATGCTCAGTATAGCAGAGAGCACACTGACAGATGCAGAGCCCTTCAGAGCAGTGCTAAAGGGGATGCTGGGCATCAGCAGCAGTGCAAGAGATGCCAGTGTGTTATCACAAGGTCTGGCACTTGCTGAGAGAATTAGGCCATGCTATGGCTAGAGGCAGCCCATGTCAGGTGAGAATACGTGCCAGCCACTGCAAACAGTTCCACTAGATCCTGTTTCAGCTAGCAGTAGTCCTTGCCTTCACTCTTGACACATACCCAGCTCTTCCAGGGATGGGACCCCATAGACATCGTCATGGTTTTCCTGGATGTCCACTTTACATGTTTCCATCTGCTGACTTATTACAGTGCTCACTGGCTTCTTGGGGAGCTCCATACGGCTAATGATGGCCTGGAAGCGCTTGTAGGTGAGGGGTGGCTTGTGGCCATTGAGCTCAATTATTCTGGAGATAAAATAAACAAGGTGAAACAACACAGCCTCACTGTCACAGACAACACAAGGAAATGACATCCAGACTGGACCCTGCTATCTCTGCTCAAGATAGCCCTTCACTCTGATTACTGAAATCCTTATAGACCTACTTTTCACTTGATGAATCCCTCAAAGGACATTACAATCAGCCAAACAAAATTCTAAAATACATCAGAAGACAAAATATCACATATTTCCACATCTCCACAGGGAAAAAAAAAACCCTCAATACAGCTCCAGCTGAATCAAGCGGAGCATCATATCTCTCTCCTGGAGCTCATCAGACCCCTGTATGAAATCTCTATCTGATTACTGCCTGTCTCCTCAAGGTGGCAAATCCTAGACCTGTATCTGGGTCCCCTGACACCTTGTGATATCATAATCTGATTCTGACCATACTTCCTTCTTTTCTGACACAGAAGACTCAGCCTGTTAGTGACCCCTCCTCCACCTATCTTGGATGAGACAAATCCCAGTTTGCACCGCTCCTCTCTCCCTGTGATTAGAGAGATCACTATCCTCCCTCCATGCACTAACGTCAGGAGCAGCCCTGTCTCATGGTATTGACCTGTGTCAGATCACACTATGGAAAAAGACAGTCAAGGTTCTCCCTTCCTCTACTTCATCAAGCATCCACAGCCTGCTGGGGCCATGCAGTCTTATTTTTTCTGGGACAGAGAACTTTGAGAAGGCCCCATGGCACGGTAAACTTCCCCAGGCTGAAAGACGCCATTTTTAACCTCTCTCCTGCAGGACTGGAAGGAGTTAACAGCAAAGCCGACAGCATAGGGATCGCCAGCATTACATAAAGCGGAGGCAGGCAACCCCACGGCTCACACAGGAGCCGCAGCACAGCAGCCTTCCCCACCCATTACAATCAACAGCTTACGCAAGGGGCCGGGCTTAGGGCCGAGTGTTCCGGCGGCGCCATGTGCCGCCCGTTCCCGCGGGGCCGCACGTGTGGCGGGGCGGAGCGACACGCCGGGCCGGGGCTCCCGCACGTGTGCTCCGCGGTGACCCGGCCCCGCGGCACCGGCCGCAGCCAGCCCGCCCGCACTGCCGGCCAGGGAAGCGCAGCCTGCCCCACGGGCAGCACGGCCGAACAGATTAAAAATGGAGCCTCCTGCAGTTTCCTCCCTGTTTTCTGCTTTAAGTTGTAAACACTGTGAGATAAAGACATTAACGAACAGGGTAAGGAGGGAGGGAAGGCCATCGGGATGTGCACAGCACTCTGACATAGTCATAGCCACAGAGACAGATATATTTGCATTTGCCTTACAGCCAACACGTTCTGTCCTGCATCACCACCAGAGTGCATCTCCTCTGCTTTCCTGCGTGCATTTTTTGGCTGTCTCCACGTCCCACCCCAGAGATGGCAAGAAATGACAGAACTCATCACCCACCGCACGCTTCTCTGTGGCTGCTTTGTGAGTCCCCAAACAAGACCAGCCAAAGATCCACAGAAAAATCAGTGTTTCCACTGGATGCAAAGTGAGGCATTTCCAGTTACAGCACTCTAGAGAGGCTCACTTGTTTCCATAGGAATTCAGAGCTTGGAAGAGAAAATGTGACAAAGCTGCACCATGTTTGCCCTGAGGTGCTTGTGACAGGGGCAGGGAAGCTACTTCTTCCACACTGCCTCTTTTTTCAGTCCTGCTAAAGCTGCCGTTGAGTCTGAGATCCACATCACTGTACAAGATTCACAGCTAAAACTTCTGCGGATAGCTGGCTACTTGGAGCAAACCACTGTGACTAGCAGATGGATGCTAGTGTCTGTGCTTCAAATCCTCAAGGATGTGAATATGAATGAAGTTACCTAGTACCACTCCTGAATTCCTAAAGACTTATTGGATAGGGGACACAAATATTATAAGAGAGGACTAGAGCAAGTTGCACATTTCACAGCACCTGACACTGGCATTATGCACTAAATCTGGACCTTTCACGGTATTGCCAGGAAAAGAAGTATTGAATACTGGATATTGCACAATATGGGATATTATACTACACTTACTGAGTATTGTAGTACTGTTCAGGCCTTCTGTACAAAAAATTGTACAGGAAGCTCCACAAGCAGGGGTCCTTTCCTTCCTCATACTGACCTTCTAATCCAGGCCACATACTTTCACATGACTTTCAATGACAAATAATGGGAGGCCCCTCCCCAGGATTTAATACTCCCAATTCACCCATCTCCCCCCAGCCCTATTTGCCACATGCAGCAGTTGTTCTAGCTTTCTTGAAGTGGAACAGAGAACCACTGTATTCATCACACAGAACCTTACCTTAGTTAGTGAGCACACCCAAAACTGGCTGTGCTACCAAACTAGCAATATGCTGCCCAGCACTATCTGACAGTAGTACCTTGATGCCAGAAGTTATGAAGGTCTGTTTGACCATCAGTCACACTTCACCTCAGGAAAGCAGGCAACCCAAACCTGACCAAACAATTCCAGCACTGCTGTGATTATAAGGTATCCTATAGTCAGTCACCTGTGACAGCAGAGTGTCTGCAGACTCAAATTCACGCCCTCACAGGTGTCAGCTTCTGAATCATCTCCACAGCAGTGCCCCTGCAGGATGGCTAATGGGCTCAGGAAAGCTGCTGGCCTCAAACACCTGACACCTCAGCTCGCTTGCAAATGACAAGGCTGGGTTCTGGCAAGGGACTGAATGTGCTCCCCCGCTTCCTTGCGGGAGGAAGAACTGGCTGCCAGGGCTCGGCATGCAGGCTGCCCAAGGCAGCCCAGGACCAATTCACGCGGACTGTGTCGTTAGCCTTGCCAGCTTATGCAATTGCTCTGATCCAAATCCCCGCTGCAGAGAGCTCATGGAGGGCTCTGTCTAGTAGAACAAAGGGTATTTCTACGGATTCAGAGAGGAGATGGAGAGATAAACAACTGATCTGTCCATCCAACAGATGCTGAACAAAGAACAAGCGGTTCAACTTCCGCAGAAACACATACTGAGAAGATGAGAGATGAAGAAGTGACTTGATGACAGGCTGGGTATCAGCAGTGGGGGAAAACACCTGACACCAGAGCACCATGCAAGACAGGAGAGGATAACAAGATGTGGCAGGCAGAAGTTTGAGTAAACCTTCTTCGAAATAACCCACCTTTTTGGCACAGTGTACTGAACTGCAGAAGCACCAAGGCACGCACACCTCCCCACACTCTTGGTTCATTTCAGTTAGCACGTGCTCCTATGAGAACACATTCTACACTCATTTCAGCCTTAGCCTCGGGCATTTGAGGAAAAGGTGATCCTGATGTATGCTACAAGCACACAAGATCACAGTGTTCTTTTCTGACCTAAACCACTCCTGCTGAACAACCCAGCCTGCCTGGGATTACAGAATCCACAGTGCTGACCATAAGTAAACACACTACAAAGGATTTAGATCCTAAGGAGGAGAAAATGGGCAGATCCAGGGAAGAGACAAAACAACCTGTCACCTGGAAGTTGTCAGACAGAATAACTGTCAAGTAAAGGCTTATGAACAGGCTAAGCTGATACCCAAGAAATTATCTTTTCTGTCTGACTTCTACAATCTGAACATTTCTCAGCCTGATTGAGATTTCACAGATTTTCTCAGGAGTATTTACCAGCACTGATGTTAATTTTCTACACCCCTCTCCTTGTTTTGGGGAAGAGGAGGTGAAAGATGCTCTGATAATTACACAGGCATGCTGGCAGTGCCAACAAGAGGCAAACTGTAATCTTCCTACTGGGTAAAACTGGTCAAATTCACAAGTTAACTGAATAGGCTCTTGGCAAATGTTTAAAATAAGCTGGTGAAGGTGGTACCAGGAACACACTGCAGGGAACAAGACAAGTGCTGGATTCATTTATGTAGGAGTGAAAGATTAGTCTAAATTGTTTGAAACTGGGCTGACAATCTTGTCAGAAACCTGATTAAAGAAAGATGAGAAGTAGGAAGCCACCACCAGGTATTATTACCACATGCTAATTATGCAGGAAAAACATTACGGTGAGCAGAGGGACAACACACACCAAGAGTTAGAAGCTGGAAGGAGAGATAGTCTGAGACTTCCAGGAGAAATACAGTATCAAAAACTGTATTACCACCAGCTGAGAAATCTCAGAGATGCCAAGAACCAAGAAATATCAGAGTAACCAGACACCTCAAGTACATCCACACAGACTGGGCATCTATCACATCCCATCACCTGCCAAAACCCAGTTTTCAAGTTGCCATAAATGACTGCTTCATGAAACAAGAAATCAAGAACCCACAAGAAATGTTAATTCATTATTTAGTCTTAGACAATGCTAAGGTATAGCTGAAAATGTTAGCTATCACTTGCCTGCTCTGTGACTTTAGCATGCATCAATTTAACACCCTTCCAGGAGCAACAATATCATACAGATCTGAAAAGCTATTTCAGAAAGATCACAAGAGTCAAAACAATTAAAGAATAGCATCAGCTAAGACAACAGAGGCAGAATCTTTTGGAAAAATGAAGACAAAGACAGAAACCCACCAAACTTTGGTGAGTTAAATTAAAAACCACAACCTTCTTGTATCTCCTAATCGAAATCAAAGTTTGAGAAACTTTTTTAAAAAAGCATAAGTAGTAAAAAAAAAATCTAACCAAAACCATCCCATTTACAGATATTCCAAGATATTTACAGGCCCAAGAGGTGATAAACTCATTAAAGAGGGACTGTAAGAGCACAAGAAAACCCCTGCATATATTTCTGCAGGTGTATTCACTATGGAGGTATCTAGGGAGGTTATGACTCGGTTTTTTTAAAGAAAATGTTATCAGATGCTGTGACAGATTGGGAGAACAGGAAAAAGTGCCTGGTGGAAAAAAGTGCACAAAACAATGTGCTATGCTTGAAAAGCTTGCCAGGGCCACCAAATATTCACCCAGAAATTGTAACTGTCCAAATACTATGGGGGAAAAAAGAGAGTAAATACCACTCCTGATTTTAAAAGCATTTCAGGAGCATCAGAGGGACAAATGAATAGACTGATGTGAACATTAAGCAGATGGGTAGAAAACACTAATGGAAACAGTGAATGCATGGATATATGCAATATGTTGGAGGGTTAATTTGGCCTTGGTAAAAGGGAAGTTGTGCCTGAAAATCTATTAGACACATTTGAGCCTGGGGCAAAGGAATCAATATATCCTCTGTGAATTTTGAGAAATTTCATTCAGATCCCTCAATAAAAAAAATTAAAGAAACCACAATAATTTGCAATAAAGAAAAAGGTCCATGCAGACAGAAAATTCTTTCATTTACAGAATTAGAGAAGGAATCTATTTTTCGAACAGGAAGAGAAATCCTACACAGAGCTGAGCTAGGGCTTGTGCTGCTCAATATTTTTTACAAAGTATCTGGGAAGGGACAAAAAAGAGCATGATGATAAAGATTACTGACGCAATGAGCATCTGGGATAGCTAAAGATAAAAGGCAACTTAACAATTTCCCTATATACCACATAACCAGCTGCCAAAAATATCAGATGAAATTGCAGTGTTGGTCATGTTGTTTCTCCATATGCAATCCTAAACTTATTTATACAGTAGCAGCCTCTCAAATAGCTACCACCATTCTGGAAGAAAGCCCTGAGACATCAGTTCAATGTTTAGCAGCACTCAGAAAAATCAGAAATAATGCTACTGTTAGGAAAAGACAGGACACATTATAGCACTCTAAAAATCTATGTTGCTTCTACATTTTGTGCACTCTTTGTCACTTTCACCACTGCTCTCCACCTCTAGAAATACCTGGAAGTATAAAGAAAGGTGATAAAATAAGAGATTTAGAACAGATTCCACATGAAACTCTCCACTTTGGAAAAGACATAGGTGACGTGAAGAAGAATGTGATGGCCACTGACACTGGAGGGGTGAGGATGTAATAAACTTCGGTAATAAACATGATATTCTAATGCAGAATTAGAAAACTGCACCTGCTCACAAGACAGGTTCAAGAATCCTTCTCACTCCAGGGACAAATATTTCCACACAGTGTGTGTGCTAACTGCAAAGCTCCTTCCCATAGGAAATTATGGATGTTAAAGATTTATAGGAGAAAATATACATGCAGCATTACTGGCACAAGTCACATCAGAAAGAAAAGGGAAAAAGAGGGAGAAAGAAAAAAAAAGCAAGCAACCTGTAAGAATAGTTCTAAAACACAGTACTGACTTTGAAGTCAAGCATACCTTAGTGTCTTAGCTGAAAGACTGTCACCACCATTTAAAATCCCATGTATATAGAGGGATTATACATATAAGTAAATATATAAAAACTCAATATCAAAACAACAAACATAGCAAACACACAACAAAGACAAAGCATTCAGGTTTTAGAAAAAGGAAAGTTTGTTCCAATCTACCTTGTTTTACTTCTTCCAGCTGTCCTGACACATCCATCAGTTAAAAGCCCTGCTTTCATTACCTGTTTGAGACAACAGCTCAACTACCTTTATTACAATTAAGCAAAAACAAAAAAAGCAATCCATACATTGAGGACATGCTCAAGGAGAGCAATCAATAGGACACAGCTGAGCAAATTAAATGCCACTCAAGTACAAAGTTTAATAAGCTTGAGGCAACACCTTTCTGTACATTCACGTCACTGTCAGCACTTTGACGTGTTCTAATCAAAGCGGAGTGTGCCAAGTAATCCTTACGGGCTCACTCAGGATGACAGTGATCAGTGTAATGGCACAGACTGAAGTCTTTGCAGACAGGACAATCCCAGCCTAGCCCTGACAGCACCTCTGCCCTTTCTGTGCCCATACCTGTCCAGGTCATAGAGGGTGTGGGAGTTCTCTATCACCACCTCCACACCAGCCTCCTTGGCCAGTTTGACGATAGCTGCATCCCTCTCCTTTCCAAACGGCTCCGAGTCATATTCAAAGGTGAGACGAGTGACTCCCCATTCCTGCAAGAAAAACAATACACCCAGCTGTCAAACAGAAAACTATTCCCAACCAACACAATTACAAATGAAGATTTCAGAATTCCTGAGCAATTTATAAAGTTCTGGAAGCTCTGAGAGTGTTGCTGTGAGGAACAGCAATCTGAATTTGACATAAGCAAAGAAGCAACAATTTTATCAGCTCTGGCAAACATCAGATCTGCTATGCAAATTTGTAATGTCAGGTTTAAAACACAGAGGAGGTTCAGTTCTTATCTATTACTGTTCTTAGATTTCAGCTCAGTTCCTGAGCCCTACCAATAACACGTTTTGCTGCACATGCTGTCCTGAAGTAACCGTACCATCCTCTTCCAGCATTTGCAGAAAAAGCATTTCAGAAAGCTCTTCCAACAGAAGTTCTGCTCAATCCCCCGTGTTTTTATGTGGCAACATTAAGTAAAATCAATACAGTCTAAATTTTTCCTGATATCTCTTTAAAGACATCACACAATAGGAAACCAATATCCATCCCAAACAGAAAAAAACAGGAAATTGCAGGACATAGGACAGCAACTGAGTGAACCTTCCTTTCTGGTGTGCACAGTAGGGTATGATACTGCAATTCAGATTTAAAGTCCTGTCTTTCTGGAGTTATTTTAGAACTCTAGAATTATAGAATGGTTGGAGCTGGAAGGAACCTTAAAGATCACTTAGTTCCACCCCCCCCTAGTCAAGCCATGCACTTACTCTCATCTTCATAGCTTTAATAGATCCCTCACCAATTACATGGCATAGGCCTTATGAAAGAGCACTCAGACTCTTCCAGGCTTTTCTAGAGCACAGATTGTTCTCAAAGTCTATGGCCTAGTTTTCCTCAGAAAATGAATCCTATGAGAAGAGGTTTAATGGTTTCCACAGCGACCTTCCCAAGACATCCATCAAGCAGAGCAGCAGCCCACAGATTTGTTTAGCAAACACAACCAGAAATCTACAGATATTTAAAAAACACCCTGACACAACTAAGAACCACAATTCTCCAAGTGAGAGAGTCTAAATCACCCCTGTATATACAGGAGACTTTTCTACCTGCCAAACAGAAGCAAAGCACAAAGAACAAATGTGGTAGTTCCCTGAAGACCATTAAAAATAATGCCATATATGGGGAAGGGGATTTTGAAGCAGAAAACAACTGTACAAGCCACCTACATTTCTAAACTTGCAGACTCAAGCCCAAAATTAATTTTAGTAAGGACAGAGAAATTAACAAGTTATATACCAATGAAGGTACATCTTAAAGAGATCCTCCACCCATTTTTCAAAGTAAGAACATGACAGCATCCATAACTCAGAGCAGGGGTCAGACAGCCATTCCAGGCCCTGCCCTGCTCCTACATGATTTAACAGTTTAATTTTAAACTTTTCTTTCTTTTATAAGAAAGCCAGGAGCAACTGGAGGACTTGGAAAAGACAGTTTTGGTCTCAAAGAAATACACATTACTACCCTGAAAGAATGGAATAAAAAACCATTAGGCTTACAGGTAGTTTAGGTAAGCAGCCAACACTTTAAATTTAAATTATTTAAATTTAATTAAATAATTAAATTTAAATAGGTATTTCCTACAGTTTTGAGAAGGCCACTGCTCTATGTGATGCAGCAGTACACAGGAAGCAGAGCACAACCAACCAGAAAATCTGTTACCTCTATGACAGTAAATTGCTGCAGATATACAAATGAAAAGTCATGACTGCTGATTTGCCTCTTAGTATCTAACCTAGAGCAAAGAAAAACTGTAGGGGAAAAAGCACCAAAGGAATTGTGAAAACACTTCAGTGAACAAACAGTGCACTTTTATAGAAGAGGGAAAACTACAGATGTTTATTCAGAAGAAGTGAAACAAAAAACTTCTGCACAAGTTAACACACTGCTAACTAGTACACTTGTCATGGTATCCATACACAGCAGTGCCTTTGTGGTGACTGTTAATGACAACACAGCTCAGCTACTGGCAGAGAGAGCAGAAATTACATTAGGCCCAAATATTGCAGTAGCAAATGTGACATAACTCTCCTCTTCACAAAAGCTGACAGCAAGGCACGAGCTGCTGCTAATTCTGTGTTCAGTGCAGCAGCTCTGGAGAGGCCTCAATCCCTACCAAAGCTACATACTTATCATGTAAGAGCATCAGCTTCCCTCCACACCTTTTTCAGCTCTGTTACAGTACTCCTGAGATACTCATCAGCTCACCTACCCAGACAAAACAGACTGCAGCAAAAAGCAGTTCTGGATGATTACACAACCAATGTCTCCAAACTTCAGACTCTGCCAACTAGTTTTTGTTCTTTATCAGAGAAAAATGCTCAATTGGTTAAAGTTTTAATTATCCTGTGAATACCCTGAAATAAAGAGGGCATGAACTACTGTTAGCTGGAATTTACTTGCAGATCAAAAGATAAAAATAATCCAGACTCTGAAAAGGCTAAAAGCAGCACTTAGTTTGTGTCATGTGTTAAGATGCAGAAGCCAAAATAAGTATCAGTGCCCCTTCTCATCTGCAGAGTCCAGTTCCTCCCCGGTACTAACTGCCCTCCTCCAGAAAGTACACATCAGAACCATTTACACAAGGAGGGTACATATTCAAGTTGACCACTCCTTCTCTGGCAGCTGGTCTGCAGTACCATTTGGGGGACACTAGTCTGCCAACCATACAAGGCACAACCCACATGACACCCCAATTCATACAACTATTAAGAGCCACATTTTTTTTCATTCAGTTTTGTAACACTATCAAAGACATTGTCAAAAAGCATCAAGGACCTTGGGAAATACAATCTTAGAACAGGATGGAGAAGAATGACACTGTATGAGAAGCCCTGATATTCAAGGAGATGCTCTTGTTAGCCCTGACATCTGCAGCACTGACATATCATATTAGAAATGTGCCCCAATGATCCATTATTGATCACCAAGGTAACTGCATATTCCCAAACAGTACATCAGCAGGAAGCTTGGACCCAAGCTATATCCTGCTGCTGAGATGACTAAACTGCAGTCTTGGACAGAAAAAGGAAGGTCAGCTAACATAAAAGCTCCTGAATATGGAAATTTTAGCACAAAATCCTACTTGCAATTCACATACAGATCAGTGAACTTTCTTTTGTTGTCTGTAAAGGTCTATGGACACAGCAGTCTGCCTAAGTAAAAGGTGCAATAAGCAAATTGCCACTAGGGAAGAAGCTCTCAACCAAGAAGGGTCTGTGTGTCACAGTACAGCCCTGTGAGAGGTGACTTAAACAAAGTTCAAGACCACCATCCAAAACCAGAAGCTTGGGCACCCTGATAGTAGGTTACACTCTATAACTACATTTCTTTGCAAGTCTGAGTTCAGGTGCAGATCTGGCTCCCAAGCTTTTCCTCATAGATAGTAGTTAGTTAGTTGTAGTTAAGGAGGAAAGTTTGTTATAGTGAAGAACTAGTTATAGTTAGAGATGCTGAGGGAATCACCAATCATTAGGGAGTGAAAGCAAGTTTAGCACCAGGTCACCAATTTTTCTTTGTTATGCTCCAAAAAAATTACTCTCTTACTTTAAAGAGTCTTGGGAAGACATCTGTTGGCTGCCCTCGCACAACAAACAGGCGAGAGTTCAGTTTCCTTAAACTGTTATCCAGATCTTCCAGGGATTGGAGAAGAAATCTGCCGAGAAGAAACAACAGCAGTTAGTGTCAGCTAAAAGGCAAATGAGAATTTGCATGGAACTCCAGCAAACCTGCAGCACCAAATGAAGCTGTAAGTTTGGACAAGAACCAGAAAACAAGAATTCATATTTACCTCTGGTCCGTCTAACAACTTTTATGAGATTGCAGCACCAGCCAGCTCCCATTCACTCACATGCAATTTGTGCTTGTCCAGATCCACGAGGCTTCCAGGATGTTCTTCTTACTGCAACCCACTTCCCACACCCCCCTCAGAGGTGGGAGAACACCCTTGTCAGTTCTTGTCTCCACATTACATGGAGAAAGCATAAACCATGTAATTTCCTACTGTATGTTCTTTCAAAGGTTTTGGGGCAAAAAGGGATGTTGCATATGAAGAACAATTTTGATGCATTACTCCAAAGAAAGTAACGAAATACTGCAAGAACTGTGCAGGTTTTAGTTCTAGCTATAAATACACCATGTCACAGCAGAGAAATGTACTCTCCCAGCTCATCAGTAGCACAAGACTGAGCACCAAGATCTCCCGAGGCAAGAATCATCTGTACTTTGAATAATTGCAAAGAGAACTGCAATTCACCTTGCACCATGAAGGCACAGAGATGAGAGCATACCAAGACATTCTTCTATTCCCTCTCACCCCAAAACTCTAAAAAGCCATGTAAGTGCTTTCTGCATTTAATGGTATGTCTTACTGACTCCCCACTATGCTATAAACCACCAAATGTATAACATTTGCTTTCCCAGTCACACATCACCCCATCTACAGAGTCACTTCACTTTGTTTTATTTAACTCTGCAAAAGACACCAGCTTTAAAACTTTAATGTCTCCTCAGCACCTGGCACTGCTGGCACACCCAGAACACTTTGTAAGTGAGCCTGCCAACCCCTACCTTTCCCTCTGTCCTCCATGCCCACTGTGCAGTGTGATCTGCCAGAACCCCTCTGCTCTCTAAAGACCCCCCACAGCCAGGGAAAGCCAAGCTACTACAACTGCACTGCAAAGAGGCACCCTCTCTCCTCAGCTGCACTGCCCACAATGTGAACTGTGAGCTTCCAGACAGAGCAAGTTAGCTCTGCACTTCTGCAGGGAGAAAAGCGTGCAGGGTTCAAAAAGAAGGGCACTCTATGAGAAAGGAGAACACCCAGAACCAGATCCAGGTAACCTAAACAAACCACTCTGTGAGCCCCAGCCCACTTTCCATTTATTACATACGAGCATCAACTGCCCGAGGTGTTCTAAAAACTTTAACAAGCATTAATTAGTCCTATATGGCTCACACATGCTGTGCAGTTAAATAACATAAGTTTTCCAACACAATACATTTGTGAGAACTAGGTAAAACATAAGCATTTGCCTTCGAAGAACAGAACTCTGAATACAAATATTTGGATTAAAAAAATTAGCAAAAACAAACCCAAGGCTCACAATGGGAATGAATGGGATTTTGGCCAACATAAGTAACTTGCTAATACGTTTTTTGCCTAACAGCCAGTAGCAGTCATTTCTGACCTCTGCAGTAGTTCCACACCTCCAAGAAAACATTACTTTTAAAAACTTTGCTTGCTCATATATTCCACGATTACAACATAAAGAAGACTCCTAACTGTTTCCCTCCCTTCACAATGTTGGTGGAAACAAACAAGGATTAAACAGATCAGGAATTAATCTGTTGTGCCACCACTTTGGTTCTTCCAAATGAGGACAGTCAGTTACAACAGCAGCACGTGAAAGGCATTCCTGTCTGCTGCTGCCTGCAGAAAGTCTGGCCTATGGAAAGATCAATTCAGATTCCCATAACAGAATTCACAATTTTCTGCACTTTGAATGACTACACTTAAGTAACTTCTGCACATTTACAATTTTTATGCCATTGTCTGCTGTGGGATTCTAGAAACATACAGATATGACCCATACAATCCCATGCCTTGAAATGAAGCTAAGGTGCACACTAGAAGCAATCAATTACAACTCCAGTTTCCCCAGTGCACAGCCACGTGACATTTCCAAGAGCTCTCAAAGCATCTTTAGCCGGGTGGTTGTCTGTCGACTTCCTCTGAGGGGGTAGTGGGAGATCTGCTTCACTTGTACGCAGGGGAGTCTTGCCCGGGAGAATCCCTATCTGGACTGGGGTTCCAAATATTTAGGCTGCTGAGACCGGCCACAACAGCATTATGTAATGTTACTGGCTACAGGTACGTGAGGTCTTGATCTTTGTACAGACGTGACTCATGCTATACATTTTTCCATTTGCAGAGACGAGGAAAAGCCCATTCAGCTTCATCTCTAGTTTCTCAGCAGCAGCCGATGAGCATTTCCCCAAACCCGGAGCGATGGAGGCCGGAGCTGCGTGCGCACATGCCTACGCGCGCCCGGCAGCCCAAGGGCAGAGGGGAGGCGTGCCGCAGCCGCCAAGCCGAGCATTCTTTGCCCTCGTCTCTACAGTCAGGCAAAAGGGTTTCCCAAAGCTAAGTGTCCGTCTGTTGCTGCTCTCATGCACCCGCCCCGCTGATAAAGTCTAATGACATTATATAAAGTTGAAGGCATCCTCCCACACAGGCAGGCAGCATCGCTGAGAAAACCGCGGCGAGGCCAAGCGGACAAGGCACAGCCGCTCTCCTGCAGGAGGGCCGGGGAAGCACTAAGTGGGCCCGACACGGAAGCGGGTGCTGCTGCGGCCCCACCGACACGGCCCACACCGCGCCCAGAGCGCTCCGCTGCCGCGGGAGCCTCGTCCCGCACGGTCCCACCCGCGGCCCGCAGGCCCGGTGCCACTCACCGCCAGCGGTTGATGCCCACGGCGGAGGAGGCGGCGAACCAGGGGTCCAGGATATAGATGCAGCGGAGGGACGTGGCGTCCCGCAGCGCTTCCTGCAGCGCCGGGTTGTCGTGGAGCCGCAGCCCGCGGCGGAACCAGTGCACCGAGCGGCACAGGGCCGGCGCCGGGCCCAGCGCGGCCGCCGCCGCCATCGCCGCCGCCCGAGCCGCGGTGCCGCCCCGCCCCGCCGCGTGACTGGCGCGCGCGGGGGCAGCCAATCAGCGCGGCGGGGCGGGGCGGGCGGCGCGGCGGGGGCGCTGTGCTGCCCTCCAGCGGCCCAGGCCGCAGCTGCCGCCTGAGGGGCGGCGTCACTCGAAACCGCCCCGGAAATGCCGCTGCCGCCCCCAGAGAGTGAGCCTGCAGTTCAGTCAGCAGGGTGGGTCGCCACAGGTCAACGTTAAACATCTCCATTCCAATAAAACAAGAAACAAACCAAAATATTTTAAAAACTCCCAAATGGCTGCCTGCATCGAAAAGGTACTTGCGGCCATGAACCCTAGAGCAGGAGCCCCTTCCAGCCCCCCAAATTCAAGAGGAAGATATTTTGGGCAGAAATTGAGTGTTCTTCGGTAGGTGTGGTCAGACATCACTCACGGGACATGGTACATCATGTAGGATCCACGGAGCAGGGTATGAAGCAATGGCATGGACTGCCCAGGCTCGCTATGGGAGTAACTTGACGTTTAAAAGGGCCAGGGATTTAGAAAGCTGGTGCATCATCACAGCTCACCACAGGATGTTTGTTGCTACTGACCCCAGGAATCAGAAATCACAGCACTGACATATTCTATTGCATAGAACCAGACTGGGGATGTGGGGTGGGTTGGGCAGAGATTTCTGCAGACCTGTCCAGCAGCAAGTTCCAAGCAAAGGAATTGATACTGTTGAACGAAACTCATTGCATTGAAGGATTCACAGAGGAGCTACAAAGTAAACATGGAACAAGCCCCTGAAACAAGGGAATGGATAACAACCCTATTTTCAATATACACTACCCCGTACAAAGAGGGTAATGAGAAGTGTTGCAAACCCTTGGTGAACTGGGATCCCCACCCTAAAGCAACAAGTGTTTCAGAATAACTTTTCCACTGCTGCGAGTCACCCAGAGACACAGAGGCCAAGCTCACTCCCCTGTGAGAAAGGCCACTGGAGCGAGCATGCTCTCCCTCACTGGATACAGCGCAGAGAGAACGAGAAATTTAATTCCTGACTCTTACCATGCTTCCTCAAATTGAGAAACCAGGTGTAAAGCAACACAGGAAAAAAACTCAGAAGGATGTGATGCTGACTCTTTGGAAAGGCATTTTAGAGGTACTGCTGTTGCTTAGACTTGTACATAGCCAGAAGGGAGAGAATTTCCATCCTCTGCACTGAATGGGGCAACAGGAAGAACAGCTGTTGCAAAAACCTTATACAGCAAAACAGTTTACTGAAATCTAACCCAAACAGTCTGGCTACTTGCCTCTTCCTTGCCTGCAGGTTCAGGATTTTGTAACTCCAGATTGCATTCATTCAGGTAATTTTAGATCTCTAACCACACAAAGCTCCCATTCCAGTCTTTGTCTTATATGAACCCAATGCGCCCCCCCCCCCCCCCCGCCACTCCCCAGATGCAAATTTCCCAGAATAGGTAAATAACAACATCCATTTTAAAAAACAATCACAAAAAACCCAACCCAGTTGATCTCTACAACACATGCTCTCCCCAACTCTGACACAGGGTGAGACAAAACATGATCCAGTCAGGTCTTTGGCTCTGCTTCCTGACACAGTTCCCCACACACTTTGCAGGTCACTTTTTCCTGCTCCTTGTTCTTCTCCTCCTCAAGAGGAAAGGAGCACCAAAGGTTATCCCCTCCAGGCCCAAAAATAGAGGTGCAGGAGCCGCCTACACACCAGTGTCATTTCTTTCACCACTTTTGACATTAGGATCCTCTTGCACCTTTCTCATTTCCAGTCCTTTCACCCACGTGTAGGCAAAGGAGCCCCCCAGAACCATCAAGTTACTCGTCCACCACAAGAAGCTCTTTGTCTCCTCGAAGTAGATAACAGCCAGCACTGTTTGTGCACAGGCCTTGGCTGTCCCAGACACGTTGTGGGTGAGTGGGCTAGTGAACTTAATCTGAAGTCCAGTCACATACCCAATGGCAAAGCCAAACACTCCCCCCAAGGTCATCATGCCCCAAAAACTGGGGCTCCCCAGCTTGTCAAAGTGGTAGAGGGTGCGGAACTCGCCCAGCAGCACCATGAGCGGGAAGAACAGGACACAAGCGTTGACGTTGTTGTAGAAGGTCAGACGCCAGATGCTACCATCCACCACAGGCAGCACTTTCTTGGTGTAGATGGCATTGAGAGAGACACAAAGGCTTGCCAAGATCCCAAAGAATATACCTGTCCATGACAGAGTACCCTCTGCTCCTTCCTGGTCAACACCCAGCCAGAAGCCACCTGCAACCAAACAAATCAGGCATCATCTGAACAGCTGCTGAAAGGCTGAAAACATTGAGTCAAAAATTCATCATTTACTAGATAGTGAACAACAACAGCAAGAGACAGGCTTAAGGGCTTCCCCCTTCCTTTATGTGAACCCACAAAATGCCGCGACTGGGAAGACTTATTTTGCGAGTGCAGGAAATTTACTGTGCGGGTAATGCAACCTCAGAGGACTAATTCCTACACTGAGCAGGCAGCAGTTCAGAAACAACTATTCCAGCTAGTCTTTGCATATAGGTAATTTTCAGGAGACCATTTTATTTTTAATTGAAAAGGCTGAAAATTGACACACGGGTAGAAAAAATATTCATCAAAGTTTGAGAAAACCTAACTTCATAGACTTTTCTCTGCCGTTAACAGGAAGGAAAATATAGGTCAGATAAGAAGATGGAAAGATAGTAAAAACATGATGGTAATGTTAAGCATGATAAAAAAAAAATCAAAAGGCAGAAACTGTGTGCAGTATCTTCATGTTAAACTTTGATGGGCAAAGCACTGTCTAACCGCCTCCAAAACAGGAGCTACAGGCTTTGCATCTCCAGGGCAGAGAGGGAGACCTCTCCCCATCCAGCTCATAGGCAAAACATAAAAGGGAGATGAGCTACTGAAGGAGCACTGCGCCACATTTTCATTAGCTGTCTGGGAAGTTGCCTGCTTGAAACCAAGCCCAGATACAAATGGGTTCCATCCCCCATCAGGAGGGGCTTTGTCTCAGGCCAAGAGGACGCTCAGCTATGCTGCTATAGGCACACAGGCAATGCTCTCACAGAGAATGGAGATGGAGCCAGGAGGACAGAGTCTTAACCCTAGAGAAACCCTGTCAGGCTGCCAGGCACCACACTCCTGGGTAGTGCCTGAACAAAAGATAAGCTGAAGGCAACTGCTTTCATCACTTGCAGAAAATACAGTAGCTCTGTTCCCGTTCACTTCTTCCATGGAGAGGAGATTCTTGTATTTTCATCTGATTCCATCTGGCCATCTAACACTAAGTGAAGGCATGCACACCTGAAACCAGACTGAAATCAACAGTTCACCATTCCTGGCATCTAAATGGCCCTTCAGTGGAAGGTAGCTTTTGGGATTATTTTGCCTTTGGAATGGACGACTTATAAGCATTCCTGTTAAGCCACTCAATGCCTTGCCCTACATGCTAACCACACGCCCAGATTTTCTGGTGGTGTTTTACGCTTGGCTTGATCAGCTAACCCTTTATCACATGTATTCAGCCTATTGTCAAAACCAATTGGCTGACCCTATTGTATCGCCCCAGTGGTGCTGACATAAATGTTACTGTTACCAAAGTTAATAATCAGCAAGAACTTGGAAACACGGAGAAAGCCACCTGCTATTTTATGGCCTGTAAAGGGGGAAGAAAGAAAATGTAAGGCAAGTTAAACTTCATTAGAGGGTAGAGAAGTTTTAGTGCTTGAAGGAAAAAGGGAGCTGTGTCAAATGAGAGCAATTTCTTCTCGTAGTGAGTCACCTACATCGTCCAGACATACAAATTTGGTTGCCACAGATAGAGCAAGGCATGAGCCCTGAGCTACCCCACCTCACTAGGGAGCTGCCATGCAGGTGAGGAAGACTTCCCAAGGGAAAGCCACCCCACCACCGTCTCTCCGGGGCTGGCTGTCGGGTGGGAGCAGCCCTTCCTGCTCCCCCTCACCTATGATGACTCCGCAGGCCAGAAGGGCATAGAGAGAGGTGGTCTGCTTGAGGAGGAGGTAGGAGAGCAGCACGTTGAACACGGTGGTGAGGGAGCGCCCCACGTTGTAGAAGGCCACGCCGACATGCTTGAGGCAGAGGTTGTTGGAGGTGACCATGCCGATGAAGACGGCGGAGAGGGGCAGGACGCTGCGGGACACCTTGGGGTCGAGGCGGAGGGCGGGCAGGCCGGCGCAGGGGGGCCCGCAGGCCGCCCCCAGGCTGAGGCCCAGGCAGAGCGCGGCCGTGAGGGCGCACTGGAAGAAGGTGACGAAGAGGGGGGCGTCGAGGCGCAGCGAGGGGCTGTCCAGCAGGTACTTGTTGAGGAAGACCATGGCGATGGAGGTGAACCAGTAGAGGCAGACCACCACGGCGATGCGCAGCGCCCGCAGCAGGAAGGGCGCCCGTCGGTCCCCGCCGCCCTCCGCCGGCAGCAGCGGGTCAGCGTCGCCGCCGCCGCTCAGCGCCATCCGCAGGATCCCCGTCCGCGTCAGCTGCGCTCTGCTCATGGCGGGCCGCGCCGCCAGCGACGCCCACCGGCCCCCGCCTCCTTCCTCCCGCCGCCTCCTTCCTCCCGCCGCCGCCTGCCCCGCTCACCGCCTGCGCCGCCGGCCCCGCGCGTCCCGGAGCGCCGCGGCTCCGCCCGCCGTCCTTTATTCACGCCCCGCGGGCGCCGCTCGGCACCGCCCCGGCCGCGGCGCCATGGCGGGGGAAGGCCGGGCCCGGCCCGGCCCCGCCGCCCGCTCCGCCCCGGGGCTGCCCCGGCCGCAGGGGCAGCGCGGCTGTTGCGAATATGAAATTTATTAAAAAATTCTTAAGAAAGGATGCTCTTTGATTTTGAACTTTGTGTGCTTCCACGCCAAATCAACAAGATAGGAGATTTGATCCGTGGAACCGAGAGCAGCGAACAAGCAAGCTCTAAGTGATGCCCGAGTGTCAAAAGGAAGTTACTTGT